CCCACTAGCCGCTGTTTGGGACTCCCTTCCCCCTTAATATTTGGCTTCCTTGGTGTCTCTCTTGATATGCCTCTTAGTGGAATGGGATATAAGTGGGAACTGTTATGTAAAGAGTTTTGCCTCCTCCCTGTCTTTTAGGCATTCAGCTGACTAATAGCTAAAGTACCTGTTTCATCTGATCTGGCTATAAAACTATTGCTGGTCTTTTTGAACAAGTTATGCTACAAAAATGCAAAAATATAGAATAACACGATCCATACAGCCATAAAAGTGATAAAAATTAACACAGCTTATTGTTAGTTTTTGAAAAAGATAAAAAATGAGCATAAATCAACTAGGAAGAATGCATCTATGCTTGTGGGAATAATGTGCCCCATAATTAATTATATGAGTAATTGTGATGTGTTTCTTAGGCCATGGGCATGTGAACAAATGGCTTTGAGGTAAACTAGAGTATGGAATTACAGCACGTCAGTTAATTCATGCTAATTGTGCCCTCAGTTTGATCTGTGGTAACTGACATCATTTTCATTCAAGGGAAACCAGACTCAAGTTTAGTACAGGGAAAGATTTGCACAATGTAAGTACTGCTGAGTAACTGGCACCAAAATTTGTTTTATAGCCAAGTTTACCTTGTAGTAACTTTTTTTTTTTTTTTTTTTTTTGGTACCCTTGTCCCTAGTTATTAGAAACTGATCTTCGAGACATACTAGCAGCCTTGAGGGGACAGCATCTTGTGAAATGTAATGCAATTGTGGAATTTCAAATGTGACCTTGTAATCTGCAATTATCTGTTGGTTTATTGCTTGAATATTTATAGCTAGATGTAGCCATCTTGAGTTTAACTACTGTTCTGTGGGTAGTTGGCACTGCTGCTGAGTTTAGTTTGGAGCTAGCTTAGCAAGAGTAGAACAGGTGGTGCAGTTGGTCTTGCCTAAAGGCATACCCAGAGCTGTCTTTTACTTACAGCTACATCATAAGCCACGTGTATACAAAGGTAAGTGGGGTAGCCATTTAAATTGTGCAAGGGGCATTAGCCCAGGAGCCAGCAAAATATAGCCTGTGTACCGGATCTAACTCACCAGGTGACTTCATCCAGCCCTCGGGCAGGAGCCCACCTATTTAGGTCTTTGGCTTTTGGTGTGATTTTTGTGTGCCTCTCTATTTTTAAAGCTAGATTAATACTTCCTTGCCTTCTTTATGAGAGATCAAAACAGTACAATAGTTTAAAACACACAAATGGTATAATTATTATTATTTAATTTTTAATATGCTAGCTAGTATAATTGCCTTTTTACATGCAATTTAGAGAAATTCATTAGAAGATACCACATTAGTACAGTTTAATGACTGCAATGATAACTCTTAAACTTTAAATAATGGCTTATACCCTGTATAAGCTAGTGAAATAGAATTGTGATTGTTTTCTAGTTGTATATGTTTGCATTGCATGTTTATTGCAAGGGGAAGTTCTGAGGAAAAGCACAGTTGTAGTTGTTAAATAGTGCAGATGGCTAGTCATGTTGTTGTTGTTCTGGAGGCATGTTTCGTTATTTACAGCTCAAATATTGGTATATGCTAGAAATATGAATTAAACATTTTAAGTTATTGATGGACTATAAAAGCAAGAACTGCGCTCTTAAGGGAATGAACTAAAGTACCATTAAACAGGTTAAAATCAGAATGTTGGGACCAATAAGGGAGAATAATGTATGGAGATATAATAAGGAATTGTAGCAAGTCCTATGATAAAAGTAATATAGAAAATGTGAAATCCTGGAGACTTCAGTCAGCAAGACATAACGTTAGGCTGATGGGAGGTAGTCTCTCTTGGAAAGCCATCTGTATTATAGTTCAATCTTGTGGATGACCAAGGGAAAGGAGGGATTATATAAGCAGTATGAGGTTCTCACTATAAATTAAGCAACATAAAAAATGTGCCCTTGACAAAAGATTTAGGGGAAAATTGTGAGGGCATCCAAGGACTGCTAAGGTCAGTAAAGCCAGGGAAAGGGAGGAAAAAGGAGTAACTGTAAAAAGCTATAATTCATCCTAAGTGCAGGTTATTGACTAGTGGCATTAACCTCTGTTATCACTTACAGTTCCTAAATACCTGCTTAAATTAGACTCAAAAAGTACATTTAACTATAGGGTCTGCTTCTGCTTCCATTAGAAAGACTGTGATTACTGGATGTGTTCCTGTTCAGTATTTTGTTTTAGGCTCATCATTCAGGGTGTGAATGTATGTGCATTTTTTACTGCACTCCATTAAAACTCTGCTTTGAATACAAGAGTATTAATTTACTCATGAGCATTTTTATGGGAGTTATTACCTGCTGCAGCATTGGAGTGCTTTGCAAATAGTAATGGTTTTGTCTTTCTTGTAGGGTGAGGTGATGGTATTCCTAATTGACAATTTAATAGCTCTTTATATCTTTATAGCGGAGCTCTGATTATTTGGTTGCTCGTGAGCATTCAACATGTCTACATATTGGGTGCAGTGTCGCGTATTGGGCCCTCAAACTTAAGAAGCTTGCAGTTTATAGTAATCTGACAGAAGTTTTTCTTAGACTTGTCCAGCATCACATAAACCTTGTGGCAGATGTGGGGATAGAATCTGTTTTTCCAGTGCAGCATTTGGTTAACCTTGAGACATGTCGTTCCCTACTTACACACCCCTGCCTCGCTTGCTAAACATCAAGGATTCACAATGCAAGCTATTTGGAACCATCTGCAAGTTGTGTTTTCCAGTGGAGAGCCATTTTGGCACATTCAATCTTACTGAGTCTCTGGGCCACTGAGATTCCTCTGGTGGACAAGTTGTGCTTCTCAGTCTCTATTTTCTGCAGTGTATAAGAGCAGAAGTCTTGTAGTCAGTAGTTCCCTTCACTAGACAATCTTAATTCATCCCCAGAGTAAACTAATCCTTTTCACTGAATGAGGTGGTAGTTGTGTGGAAAATAGTGTTATAGTATACTTAAAAGCAGAGTGATAAAGCATGTGTCCAAGGGAGCTGACTTATGGCTACACTGGTAAGCTCGGTTCTAAATTTCTTAAGTGCATAATTTTGTGATCTTAACATTGCTTTAATTTAGTTTGAATGTAGTTTCCTGCTTTGGTAAAATAGCAAACTGGGAAAAAAAACACTTTTATCAGATGGACTCATAGTAACACCCTCTTATCTACCCCTGTTCTCCCCCACATCATCTCCATGGTTGGGACCTTTCAAAGCACAGCACAACCCTCTACTATTTGTTCTGATGGAGTAACTAGTGATGATAATGTTAGTACTAGTGGAATACTGGGATTCAAGACTCTTGCATCCAAATCCAAATGTGTCTAGTGATTATGGGCCCCATGTCTTACCTTACACTTGATCTCTTTCATCCCTTCTCCCTTCACCCTCAGTCCTCCCTCTCTTCCCCTCTGTCCCCTTCCAACGAGTCTTTCCTTCCACCAAATTCCTCTCCGTCATCTCTCTTCCCTCAAGTTTCTGATACTTCTGAATTTCACTCTGATTTATTTTATGCGTTTCCTGGGCCCCAGCAATGTGGACATGGAGATCAAAGCTGAGAGAGTCTCTCTGCTAACATTACTAGTGGCACTGAATCTCCAGCCTCCCTGGAGGAACAGTTGCAGGAAAGGGTTAACTCAGTCCTACAGGGAACATGCTCAGTTCCCACATGTGCAAATTCTAGTTGGCAAATAGGAACTGGGGGAGGGAGGGTGAAGTATGTATGGAGTAGATGGACCAAGACAAATTTAGCTGCTAGTCAGTGGGCACATCTACATAGGACGCTAACTGCACAGTAGCCTAATACTACTGCGCAGTAGCATGTCATGGCAAAAATTGTGCTAATATGCTACTGTGCAGTAGTATTAGGCTACTGCACAGCTAGTGTCACTTAAAAGCTGTGCATTGGCACTACTGTGCAGTTTACTGCATCTTGATTTCATACGTGGTTATACAAGTACTAAACTTAATGTGCAATAGCTGTGGCTCATTAATGACTGTGTAGACATGCCAGTAAGTCCTTAATGAGCATGTGTGAACCTCAGTTAGAGGCTCAGTTTGGTGAAATGTGAATGGATTTTTATTGGAATAACAATAGGTACATCCCTGACACGGTTGGCTCTTGCCAAACATCAAGTCTCCACTCCAAAGCATAGAGGCTCAAGTGTGTTTTAATTAAAGAGTTGTAAAACAAAAAGCATCACTTCCGTAAATTTGTTCGCAGAAATGGCAAAAATATGTCCACCAACTATTTCTCCTCCTTCCCCTCTCCCCTGTGGTATCCACCTGAGGCAGACACTTGACATAGAAAATTGAAGCATGCTTGACTAAAGTTTTGGAGCATCATACGCATCTGAAAATAGAACCTTATATAATTGGAAGTGCTAGGCAACCATAACTAGGCACATCCCTCCCAGTCTGACTGTAATGATGGCATAATATCTTTCATGTTGTTCTCCTTTCCATGTAGGACTGTAGACATCAGCTGTATTTTCATTTCCATTCACCATGTTGTCTGAACAGTAATCATGATACAGCATTCCTTCTTCTGGTAGATTTTTGTTTGTGTTGAATTAGGATTCTGTATGCCTACAGTCTTCATATAGTTGTAAAATTCACATGCTTCCTACTGGGCAACATAGTGATATCTGTGATGGTGGGTGGGTGGGTGGATGGATGAATGGATCTGTCAATCTCTCTCTCAAATAAGGTCAATCAAAATAAGGGGAAATATTTAAATAGATCTAAAAGGCAATGAATTTACAGTCCTAATTAATTACTTGATTTGCTAATAGTGTTCAGTTTTAGATGGGAATGGTAAGTTTTTTGGATGTGATTTTAAGAAAGTGTTAATTATTGCACACTACAAAAAATCATGCCAAGAGGCTGCCAACTAGTTGTAATACCATGCTGATAATATATCTTAAAACAACCTAAGATATTAACTTGTACCTTATTTTAACAATATTTTTAATAACCTTTGTAGGAAACAGGAAAGAAAAGTGAAACATGATGAAATACGCAAGAAGTATGGTATGTATAGCAATCTTATTTCAGTATTTGGTATCTGAATAAACTGTCTTTCCTCTCTCCACATTGCCTGAATAAGATTGTTCTGTCACACAAGAGGTAGAGCTTTTCCCGTGTGGATCATTAGTTCTGTTTAATACCCTGGGAAGTCGCTGCCATCTGACTGTTTTGTGAGCTAAGTGCAGTAAGTTAGTTGAGTTTAGCCCCATTTGCTGTGGGTAATAATTTGAATTGTTGTTAGCATTCGTGGCACAAAAAACAAGGATTAAATAAGGTTTTGGAGCTATTTTAATTCCTACAGTTAGCTTTTTAAAACAGATTTATAGCACAGTAGTGAAAACAGAAGGCATGACCATCGATTGTGCTCTGATTTTTATTTGTGGAGTTTGTTATTCAGGACTGGTGCTGTTAGCACTCTCTAATTTGGCTTGTTATTGAACTGCTGGTGCCATGCACTCAAATATATATGAGAACAAGATGCTTTATTTTCTTATCATGTAAATTACACTGTTGTGAAAAGCAGTGACTCTGGAGCTATGAACACCACTCAAAACTGTTCTGATTTCCAGTGTCTTATTAAGCTGATTGGCAGGGGCTGGGAATGCCTGTGTCAGTCTGCTGCAATTCCTCCGGTTGATGCAGTAGTGTTGTAGATGAGCTCTAAAGGGAATTACATGGAGGGAGGAACATGTGGTGCTTCAAAAAACAAAGAGGCACTGGGAGAGGGTACACCATAATGACTCTTAAGATAGAAAGGGGGGAAATTATTATAGAGAAAAAAGGCAATTTTAAGGGTACTAGTTCACAAGCGTTAATTCCTTGACAGTTTGACTTTTTTTGACCTTGCTTTCAAACTTCTGTTCTATATGAAAATGTTTGTTTCAGTTACATGACAAAGACTTAGAATTCAGCTTTTGTTTTTTTTTTTTTAGACTAATATGCCATTTGAGCCTATGTTTCCAGAGAATCCCTGGGGTCAGCCCTGCTAGGTACTAAGCATTCTGGCCAATTCCAACAAAGGATTAAACATTGCAGGAGTACTACCATTGACTTCATTTAAATTAAGCATTTTAGGTGCACTGCTAGATATGGTCGGAACAGTCAGCACCTTGAAGAATTTAGCTGTATAAGAGTGTGCACGTGTCCATGTGTGTACTGGTAGAAATCTACCACACTTAAGCTCCTTAGTGTTCCCAGTGAAATCAGTAGTTCAGTCATTGACTTCAATGACAGCAAACTCTCACTGAAAATATAAGCTTTGTCTTCTAATTAACATATCAGCCCTATCATTTCTGCACCCAGTTACCTTATTTGCAAATGTGATGCACTGTTTCTTGTAATTAATAGTCTTCTCAAAAGAGGTATCACACTGGTGCATGGAGTGTTATGCACGTAGTTGAGGAGGAGGTGGCAGAGTGAAAGGAGAGAGATTATGTAATGTCCTCAGCTGACATTAGACCTCTGCTAATATGTGGAACTTAGTCTGATATCAGAACTAATGCAGAATTGGTTGGCACAGCAATCAAAATACAAATGCATTACTAATTCTCATCTTGAAATACTATTGTCCAAATAATTAAATGAAACATAATACAAAAATCTTTGGCACTGCCTGGAATCTTCTTCATCTGTCTTTATTTTTAGCTGTCTGGTAAATACATACGTTGGCATATCAAATAGTATAATAAAAATTGGTGCAGAAAATTGTGGAGACACTAGATTATTTTCCACACTTATGCATAGTAGAGAGGATTCACTGTTAAATAGGCAAGAATAAGTGGCAGAATGACAATGGCTTTGTTAACCTGACTCTGTAGATTAAGATGATCATGCCTGAAATGTCAGCCCTTGGTTGGCTTTAAGGGAATGCCTTTTTCCCACTTCACCCACCCTATTTAAATGGTAATTACACATTTATAATGCATTGCAGGTGTCACTTACTCTCGCCACAGTCCTTTGGGAGCACTGGAAGCAATAGAGCTTTAGGAACTGGGAATACTCATTTTGAATTGTTTCTTTGTTGCAAAATTTGTCCATATTTTTCATTAGCTTGTATATGAATGCAGTTTGATTGCTCAAATTATATGTTGACTATTAGCACATTTTAAAGTAGAATTTAGAGCATTTTCTAGCTTTTACAACATACAAAGGAACTGTGATTTAATTGCCCCACATTTGCTACTATTGTACACTAAATGTACCATCAATAATATGGTGCTTTGCTCACCACATACTTTTGGATTTTGTCTGGTGATAGTGGAAGAGCCCTACCTCAGAGATAATAGAGGACATCCTTTTGTCTTCGGTTTTGCAAGTCGGTTCCCTTTTATGATTTTGGGGTTGCATGCTGCTTCTTAAAGTGTGCAAAGGCTTTTGATTAGTCATTTTAATGATGTATAATTCTATTTCATTTCTTTTACGTATGACATTTGTTTTATGTTCAGCAGTTCATCATAATAAAAACAGCTCTGGATGGGTATATTATGTTGACCTTATATGGTATTTTGAATGCATTGCAGTCACATAGCAGTCGCATCTCTTGTAAATCACATTCCTTTATTTTTTTTAAATTATTTTTATTAACTTTATTTTAGGAATTGAAAGCCAGCAATGTACATAATGAACTTCAAGGATGAAAACGGTGGCGTAGTCAGTTTTGAGGGGAAGTAAGCCGTCACTGAGAAAAGAGAGAAAAAGCAATGTATGTGTTGATCGCCCAAGTCCAATCCAGCTCAGTTTTTGCAGCATATACATTGTGTTGCGCGTTTGGATCAAATCTGTGGTTTTAACTACATTGGTGAAAGGTTGAAATGCACTCTCAGGTGATTAGCATTGTATGTTAGCTCAGAACTGAAGATTGTAAAAAGAGGTATTTAGACTTGAACATTTGCCTTGCCAGTTCCCAGCGGTTGAGATGGGGCTTTGTCCTTTCAGCCTGACAGAAGAAGAATGCTTAACTGACCAATAGCTGTCAAAGACCAGAGCAAGGTAGCCATAGTAGTCTGAAGGAAGGCAGAGAGAAGTGTAAAGATGCAACTTGTAGACTAACTGAATCAGATTCTAAGCTTTTTGTGATGAAGAGCTCACTTCATAAGATGCTGTGACGGCATTTACGTCCCTAATTCAGTTAGTCTGTAAGTTGCATCTCTGCACTGCCTTCTCCTAGACCATTAAGGTAAGTAAAGGTGTCCAAAGACTTACTTCATAAGTCAGCCGAGGGTGCTCAACTTCTAGCTCGTGGGCTGAATTTCCTTCTCCCCCACCATCTCCTGTTCTGCATGACATACCCATCCTGGATTGGATCCATTGGCTGGATCCAGCCTGCAGAGGAACCAGGCACTGACCGTCTGGCCTGTAGGACAGAAAGGTTGAGCACCACTGAGTCAACTAACAAATTAAATTGGTTGTAAATATTAAACCCAAAGAGTAAACAAAGATAAGATGCATGGAACAGTCTGTTTCAGATTCTTACAAACTTTCTCTCTTGGGACTTCAAAACTCACAGGTTACCTGGGAGGATCTTAATTTGTCTAAAGACACTGGCTTCATTGAGCCTGAAATATCAAAGCAAAAGATGGGTATTTACAACTTATATCGAGAAGGAAAAACAAGACTCAGAGAAGCTTCCTGTGCCTCGTTCAGGACAAACTGAATTCAGCCATTAGGTCCTTTTACCATTAAGCTATGATATTCAAGATGTACCAAATGGCCCTGGCTTTTTGCCCCTATACCATTTATTCTTATTTTTAATAATGGTTCCCCTGGTTTGGGGGTTTTTTGTTTGTTTTTTGTTTTAATTGTTGGTGTTCATTCATCATCCATGATACATTTCCACCATAAAAAGCCAATACAAGTGCCCCACTACTACCCTTTCATCCCTGTCCCTGCATTCTCAGGTTAGTGAAAAAAAATTTAAGTGCTCATGCATGAGGTGTAGAAGGCAGGAACGGGCTATAAAATGAAAACAAAGGGAACAAGACATCTAGGGTACGTTGTACCATGTGTTGTTATTCCCTGTGGAAGGTAACCTTACATTTCTGCTCCTAATTCTTCATCTCCTAGTGTACGTGGGCTATACTAGCAGGGGCTGCACCATTGGCATGCCTCCCACGCCCGCTGTGCTGCACCACATGCCTGACATGCAACATCCTCCTCCCCACTCTGTCATGCACATGGGCATCCATGCCATGGGCTTCCCCCAGCATTGTGGAGTTCACTGTGCCACCACCTGGGGCTGGGAAGGGAAAGGAAGAGGGAGTTCAGAGAACCAAGCTGCTTTTGCAGCTGGAGCAATAGGGGAAGCAGTAGCTGGATGGGAGCTTGGGAGGCCATAATATAATGCTTTGCAGGCCTCAAGTTGGATAGCTGTATTTTAGGGGATCAGAAAAATGAAGTCTCTACCCCATTTCAGAAACTTATTTTGGGAGCATTTAATTTTTTCCTTCTAATCAGGCATGTTTAATGATCTCCATTATCTACTCTGGACCTGACCAGTAGGTTTAGTCCTCAGCTCTTTAGTTCCCCTACCCTGCCATAGCATAAAGAGGAAATGGCATTCCCTGAAGCAAAAACTGGTTACAAAATACAGACACCTAATTTGTGGAAACTAAAATTAAAGACATTGTGAATAGCCTCTTCAACAATAGTAGTTAAAGAAAAGATTACCTCTGCTATGAACTATGAGACCTAGTAGTCTGAGATGTCACTGGTTGCAGTTAGAAGGCTGCTTTTGCTTGCAGTATTGCGTAGTTAAATACCTTTCAAGACTCTCACACCTTCCTCTGAAGAATTTGGAATGGCTCTAGTGGAAACTATACTGTATTCTGTTAAATTTTGTCTATATAACCTGTCGGTGGCAGTGCTAGCTGTAGTTTTACAATATTACTTTTGGATATATCATGTAAAATACGTATTTTAAACCAGTTAGATGAGAAGCAGCTCTTAATAAGCATGTGAGGCAGGAGATGGAGCTAATAAATAAGAGGGGGGAGAATCCCAGAAAACTAAATGGTGTGTGGTGGGGGGGAATAACGTTTCCCAGTGTTCATTTTTAGCTACAGCATTTGTCACTGCATCCAGCTTCCCACTGGTTGAGGCAGCTAAACCTTGATGTGAACCCTTTTGATTAGCATACGGTTATCTTTTTTATGAAGATTTCAAAGGATTTTATTTAATCAGGAAGATGCTTTCATCCCAAAGTTAATTCTGTCACTGGATCTTTATTCACTGTAAGGAACAGTTTTTAGAAGTTGGATTCTCAGAGTTCTATGTGGATTTTAATGAATGCAGAGAATGTATAGTCTTCTGCATGAGAAGTGTAATAATACACTTTTACTTCTAGTATTGCTACTTGATCCTACATAACTAACTGTTGTGTAAGCTAGTGTAATTACTTTTTCTTAACGGCCACTGGCAAGGCTTATTTAGAAAGTAAAAGAAAATTCTCTTTACGTTCAACATGTTATTCATTAAAGCTTTCCAAATTTGCATAAGGATACGATAATACCCATAATTTTACTGCTGTACTTAGATTGTCAAGGCTTTGTAACACTGTGAATGATTTCAGGTGATAAATTGTCTAATTGTATTTTGAATGTATTAATTGGAATATATGAGATAATGATGTAAGAAACAAGCATACCTGTTCTATCAAGCCATGGGCATTATTTTTATGGGTCTGGTGAATTGTTCTAATACTTTGTCCAGCTGCCAAAACAGATGATAATGAACCCTGACAAGTTAATGAAAATTCTGTTCGTTTTTATATATAGGGTCTTAACACACATAGAAAAATGTCATATTTGTTTAGGGAGAACTTTTTTTGTCAACTATAAGTTGGCCTTAAAAATTGAGAGATGTATTTCAGATGCTTCAGATACTTGAGGATGAAAGTTAAAAAAATATATATTAGTCCAGACTGAGTTTAGGAAATAGGTCTTGGCTTTGCAGCGAATGTAGTCTGAGAATCTGAAAACCTCCAGTTTAATTCACAAATAAAGACATCAAATCAAATTTCATACATTCCTGCCTTTGAGAGAGAATGTTTTCCATATTGATCTATTTCTCTTAAGTTATGAATGTGTTAAACGCATCTAATTATCTTGATGATTTACTGAACTGCAATGTTTTATTGTATTGAAATCTATACAACCTGTGTACTTACATTTTTAAGTACTTGCATATCTAGTTTTAGCTGCACATTTTTTGTAGTGCTGCAGAAAAAAGTGAATTCTCCTCCCCATACATGGATTGGGCCATCTGTAATGCAAGCATTAAGGATCAAGTAACTCTAATAAAACATGTTTTTGTTATAGTTTAGGTAACATGTCAGTGAGTTTTAAATAATTTTATTACTGTATTCTATAGCCACATTCTTTTCAGAACATCAAATATGTAGTTAATATACAAAAAGTAACTTTGTTTCTTTTTTCTCTCAGCTAGGTCAAAGCAGAGTATATTCAATTTTCTTGAACAGTTTTGCAGACCAATTTGGATGATGCTTGAGTTTTTTAGTTAGTCTTCTACAAGTAAAAGTAATTTTGTACAAGAGCTGGTTTTTTTATTCTTTACTTTATGGGTAAATCACATGAAATACTTTCAGTTTGAATGACCAACAGGGCTTGTAGGAATTTTCCATAACCAGTACTTTATGATTATATATCATGAGTTTTTTGCATCCATTTATTGAATATTATGTTAGTCCAGTGCTGTTTAATCTTTTGGCCCCATGAGCCAAATGAGTGGTTCAGGGGTGATCTCAAGGCTGGATTGGGCCCTGCATCCCAGGATCAGGCTTGCACTCCCAGATATTGACTGTACCACCTCTGACCAGCCGCACATGATGAGATTGGGGCTCTGGGACCCTGCCCCGCCTCTACCAGGGTTCCTGTGGTGGGTTGGGGCTCTGGCACGCCATGCCACCTTCACCTGGCTCCACACGTGGGGATAAGGCTCTGCAGTCCAATGCCACCTCTTCTGGTCTTACATGTGAGGTTAGGGCTCCAGGGCTTGTATTGCCTCTGCCAGGCTCCGTGTGTTGGGATTAGCCCCTGTCTGGCACTTGCACCCAGCCAGACAACGGGAATTGGGTTCTAGGGCCCCATGCTGCCTTGCATGCCAGATTTAATGCACAGGGCCATGTCCCACAAGGCATCGCACAGGGCCATGGGGAGCTCTGTGGGCTAGATCTGGCTTGCGGGCAGGGGGTTGAGCATCCCTGCACTAGTGAGTTATTATTGGCATTGTTAATGGGGAGCTCCATGCTGTACATCGATAAGGCTTGAAAATGTATTGATCACTAGCAAGTAAAACTGGAGAATTAAGAGGTATAGTCCTATCTGACAGTTTGTTACATGCTCTATTTACTGTGCCTGAAATAAACAGGGTGGGCTGGACCCGTGACTGGAGCTCCATGCACTTATTTCCTTACCTGCGTCAGGCAGACCTGTGAAATGTTCAGCTTCTAGTTATTGGTGTGCATAGCCAGCCCATTTCTGCCCAGGGAAGACAGAACTTTTGGGAAACCTTGTGGGGATTGGGAGCAAGTGGTATGGTCCCGTTTCCTCCTTCCACTTCTCTGGTCCTGACTATTGTAAGATGGGAACTTCATCTTTCCATAGTCTTCCTGGCCCAAAATAAATCGAGTAGAAAAGATTGTACCCCAAATCTTACAGACACCTAAGGAAGAAAAGCACCTGCATGCCTAAGGCTGATATGCAAGGTAATAGCAGACCTTTTGCTCCTTCATAACAAGAGTCTTCCCCTAGCACCTTTGGGATTTGTTCATCTTCAATATGCTCTTCTAGCCAGTGAATGCCTGTTATGTTTCTCAAGGTCTTCTTGAAAACTAGCACTGTATGGCATAGTGATTGTTGCTGAACTAAGCTTTAGAGAAGATTATGTGTATATCCAGCAATTCAGTATATTTTTGATGGTTTTGCAACACTTTCCATGGCAATATTCTGTTTTTTTTATGATGAAAGCACATAGTGAGACCTAGGTTAAATGACACATTCATTCTTGTCCCTAATACGTTTAGTGAGTTTATGGGTGATTTATACCTGTCCTTAGAGAATATTGCCTTGCATTGCAAAATTACTGCATATAACTTATTAAACTTGGCAGGTTTTTTGTTCAGGAATGAAAGAGAATTAAGCCAGCAAGCTAGCGTGATAACCTCCAACCTTTAAAAAAGGATGATCTTACAACAAAGCAGAATTTATTGATCATATTGAAACTGCTTCTACTTAGCCATTTCCAGCTTGGTTTAGTTTATGACAAAGAAAAAATGCCAAGTTAGCTGGTGTTAAATAGAAATACTATTTCTCCTTGTTAGGAAAAAAACTTCTTTTTTCATCTTTCTTGATGAATTATTCTTCGTATGGAATCCATGATTTTTGGTTAAGAAATAAAACAACTTACAAGTTTTTTTTTATTACAGGCTTTACTTGTTCTTTTAGTTAAGTAAATTGAAGAGGTACATCTCCTACCATAAGAACAGGCATGTTTTATTTTATATAATGCCTTATACAATTAAGTCAGTAACTAGAGGTCTTAATAAATGCTGTCTTATTTCCTCCAGGTCTTCTTCAGGATTCAGATCATCCTTACAGCAGATTTGAGAATGAGTAGAAACACCCACGGCTGTAAAATTTAGGATCCAGAAGAAGCATGGCCTTTTATTTTGCTTTTAAGAGGTCTTCAGGATCATTTCTTTTCCTCAAGTTTAAAATTGTGAAATTAAGTATTCATAAATCTTTACTAAAATATGTATTTTTATCTGTCTAATTTACCTTTTTAGCACTAATTTTTATGAATCTTTTTGATTCTTGAAATATTCACCATGTTTGCTGTCTGTAAATGTGAAATGTCAACTTTCCTCTTTTTATTTTTCCTTTAGGAATCAGATTTCTAAGGTTTATCATGTATTGGATTTGACACCTTAAGTTACTTTTCTCCAGAAAAAAAATCTTTTGTTTCTATGTTTATAAATAAAATTTTTCTTCCTAAATCTGTTTGTACAGATAAGAGATAGCAAGAGGAGAAGAACTGTTTGACACTGGAGAAATATGTGGTTATTATTGTTGGCAAGAAATAATTACAGTAGACCAATTTTTCAATACCAAAACAGTATATGAAAGTAAGTTTTAGACAAAGTAAAGATGGCTAATGTGTGAAGTTTCTTATTAAGTATAACTTGATATAGGAGTGAAAGTGTTGGTATGTCATCAGAGTACGCCCTTGATATGCAGAAAAAGCACTTCATTAGCAGGACTGACAAAAAAAATATTTGTAATGTGTGCAAAATCTGAATGTATATGTGTGTCTACGATCGAGAGGAAATATCAGGCTGTGTAAACATTTTGTGCTGTGAACAAATCTCTACATTAAAATTACCATCTATTAATAAGATTGCTTCAGCTTAATTGTGTAATGATTTTGTAATGTTTTGGGGGTTTTTTAAAGGAAATTTCATAGCATTGTAAGTTCTTTCTTTATTAGTGGATTCTGTTCCATGTTTTGTCTCTTTATTAACAGGCCTTCGAGCATTTCAGATACGTCAGCAATCGGTGGCTGATTTTGACCTTTCTCCCCCTCCTTTCAACTAATGTGAATTTCCAAGTATTCTATAGAATTGAAATAACCTAATTTATTGTGTATTACCTTCTATTAAATAAATTTACAGTACTGAAGACCTGTGTGGTGTTTTAGCAACCTCCCTTGAAAATAATTTTTAATTGAACATCTTGAATTCAGCTTCTGTTGTTTTTATGATCCTAAATAGGACTTCAGTGAATAAATACACATGAAGGAAACATTCAGTTGTAAGGTTTAAATAGAGAAGGATGGTAATTTTGGTTTTCTCTAGAAGAAAAATCTAACACCATGTATATGCAGCATGAAGTAAGTATTGCCTTAGGGTGATTAGGTTGCCATTCCTTGCAGTGTCGAGGTACTTGCGTATACTTCAACTATCTATAGTTCTACAACCTGTCACTGCTCTCAGACTTGTTTTCATTTCCATCCTTTCACATTTTCCTTCTGAAAATATATTTCCAAAGTAAATATTGTTATTAAATAGTCCCTACTATGGTAATGGAAGTGTTATGAAATTGAGGTATACTCATTTTTATTTGCTCATAATTCAGCCAATGGCCAATATTGTATTAGTCCACTGTGCTTAGCTTCATATGTTTCTTGAACTGTCAACTGTTCTCAAGTCAAAAGTACTATGCAAGTGGCTGTCTTTGAAGAATGATGGTGAGTGATAAGAGCAAGTTGATAGTGTGAAAATAAAGCATGCTGTTTTCCCAAGATGCCCCCTGCAAAAATGATGGAGGTCTGCCTGCCATCTCGCAATGCAAACAGTGATATTGTGACTTAATAGAACAGCATTTTTCTTGTTAACCTCCTCCAGTATCTGAGCAACTGTCAGGTACACCAATAAAACAGAAAAAACAGTTTGATTTTAAAGAATATGCAGTAGCTGAAGAAGAACAATATTTTGTGCATATGGAACCTGGGTTTTTTCTACCAGCTGGCTGGATTTTGAATTTAAATATAGGGTATGGAAAACTGCTATCTCCCTATGAAGCATGTTAGTCTCTTGAAAATAGCAAATTATACCTTGATTAGCACATTAGCACATAATGCATGTGCCCTTTTTGGTCTGAATTACTAAATGGCATATACAGCAGTCAAGTGTATATATAATTTCTTAGTTAAATTTTAGTATTGTGTGATCCTGCCTCCTTTGAGGGCCCAGCAAAACTCTTTCAGATATCAGGGGCATCTCTCTGTGAAACAGTGCAGTGCTGTGCAGAAATGCCCAAACTAGTTTGGACACTGGAAGCCAGTAGCCATGTCAGTGCATTTCAAGCTAGCTCAGGTATCTCTCCACAACATTGTATTGTGCAGATTAACCCAGTGAGAACGTTATGGATTGCAGCACCAAAAAACTAATATAAAGTACAAATTCTTGACAATCTACCCAAAACACTTTTCCGTTGCATGTGCCATTGCTGTATTGAGAAGAACTTAATAGTATGGAGCACATTGATATTTTATTGTGCTAATTTCAGTTTTCTTTATGGTATTTTATATTTAAGTATTCCATATTATTGCTACCGAAAACATTAGTTTTGGCTTATCAAGATTGATGGTTGATGGTCTTTCTCTTTTATTTTAGTTACAAATAGAGTGAAGTAGCTTTAGACAGATGTAACATAACATTTTTGTCAGGTGTGTGCTAGATGCCTTTGTTCATTTTCAGTAACAAGTTTCCCCTCCCCCCTTCTATGAACAAAGCAAATGATGAAAGTCATTTAAAGAAATCTAAAGGAAAAGGAACTATGTAACCGCACCTCTAAATCTGGTGATACAGCGTTGATTTCTAAAGATTCTCACAATAAACATCTTCCCTTTCATTTGCATTGTTTCTTGCATGCTTTTATTTATTTAGAAACTCTTTGCAGAGCATTTTGAAAATCCATGTGCTGTAGGGATCATAGGGACTGGTCTGTTTATTGTCCAAGTAAAATGCAAATATTAACCTAAAAACAGAAGAGTTATTAAAATATAAACTTAAAATGTGTTAATCTAAAGAAGTTAACACAGTACATCTTTTTTTAAAAGGAACCTGGCAAGGTAAATCTTAAATTGAGTCCCTCACAACAAATAAAGTGCACACTGACTGGTTTCTTACACACAGTGTTGCTTAGTTTTCAAAAGATGAGTCTAAGATCAGAGGATATGACCACAGCATTGAAAAGGCTAACACATCAAACTACTGGTAGTATACTTATATATTTAGAAATGCGAAAGTACATGGATGAATCTTCTTACTGAAAATGTTCTTATGCATGCATAGTAGCTATCTTGTGTCAGTAATTTACATATGGTATTTTTGTCATCTGGTCTTTCATTTCTTCCTCCTCAATTCGATAGGTTCACCAAGGTGCCTGAATGGCTAACTTGATACAGGCAGGCCTCGACTTATGACTTTTCGAGTTATGATGAATGTCACTTAAGACGTTTATAAATTGACACCCTGTTTCAACCTTCTGACGTGGGTTTAGACTTTACGACACTGGATACAGCTGCGTCCAGCTGGTAAGTCTGGTGTGGTGGAAGGAGGGGGGGGGGGCAGATCAAGGCCCCCCCATGGTGAGAGAGGGGCTAGAGCTGGGACAAGTTGCTCACCTGGCAGCTAATCCGGGAGGGCATGGGGTGCCCCTGGATCTGCATGGGGCAGGACTCCGGGCAGGCGGTAGGTTCTATGGCGGGGGGTTATGGCAAATTTTTGGGTGGCTGCAGCCCCCTGATAGCTTCCACCCCACTGCCCGCCCCAATCCGGGGTCACCCTCCCTCCCCCCATGCCCTGCCACCATTTGCCTAGCCAGGGTAGGGCAAGTACAGGACATAGCCATGGCTTGTCCGGGGGGGGCAGGGGTGGTTCTTGCCACTGGTGCTGCTCATCCAGAAGCAGCTCAGCAACCCCATCCCATGCCGAGCGGTGGTGGTGAGCGGTGGGATGGCATAGCCCAGTGCAGCCTGGTTCAGCCCTGGTGCTGCCTGTCATGACGCAAAGGCATGATTGTGTGTGTGTGCTTCGGCACCAGAATTATCCCCGCCAAGTTGCAGCTTCATTGCACGGGAGAGTTTCCTGTTGCAAAGGAAAACCCTGGTGCAGGGACGAGTTTCCCGCCTTTTTTGCAGCTTCTTTTGCAGAGTGCATTGCTCATGTTGCAAGAGGAATGCACGGTGCGAAGAGGACTCCACATCCATCTCGTGGGGACTCTGGGTACACGGCAGGGTAATAGAAACCCTGTGTGAGATCCAGAGGAGCTTGGCGGCCTGATCCACCACCCACCTCTTCCCGTCTTCGAGCGCGACTTTTATAAGACGTATCTACGATTCCCATTTTGGTGGCTCGTTCACCCAGAGCATCCAGAGCTCTGTACCGTGGAGCCTAGCAACCTCCATGAGACCGTCTGTGTTGTCTGTCTGTAACCGCAACTCAAGCAAGTTTTCCAGCCTACACCACTGCCATCTCGGTGTAAGTAAACAATCTTTAAAACTACCGATACGTGTTTGTGCCTAATTCCAGCTCGACGGCCTCCCTTCTCTGACCCGGCGTGCCCGGGCTGCTGGCCACAGCCCGCGTGCAGCACAGAAAAGGGCTCGGGTCACTCCCGGCCCACACACTGCCCAACCCGCTCAGTCCCCGCACAGATCCAGGGGCACATGCCTCCCCATGCCCTCCCGGGCAAACCACCAGACAAGCAACTTGCCCCAGCCCCTCCTTTGCTGCGGGGGGGCCTTAATCTGCCCCCACATCCCTTCTCTTCTCTCTCCCCTTCCACCACACCAGATTTACCAGCTGGATGCAGTTGTATCCAGCATCGTAAAGGAACCAATCCCCCATTTATAACATGGGGAAATTGGTTCTGAGTTATGACGTTTCTACTTAAGACAAGGTTTTCAGGAACCAATTGCGTCTGTCTGAGGACTGCCTGTACTCCAGATTAATACTGAAGCCTTCCTCTGGATTTGCCACAGAGCTACTGCTGCACAGTGACAAGTTATTCGTTGTGTAAGCACTCATTGCATTAACAACAACTCCACTAGTCTCTATTGACTGACGGTCAGTTTGCTTTTCAGGGAAAGATCAAGAGTATCACTAATCAGGTTAACCTCCTGAAGCTAAGAGGTAGATATATGTGAGAGAACTTAACCATATCCTCCTTTAGAGCATGCATTTTGAACTACTGTTCTATTTTACATCTTCTGCTTTAACTGCCAAACTTTTGGTTATTAGTGGAAAATACTAATGTTGAAATACAATACTTAAATTGTTCTTTCTGTTGATAATTATAACAAATAGGAGAAGAATAGGAAGTAAAACTTTTAATGCTTGTAGGCATATATTTACATTAGAAGAGCCTGAGCTGTTTTGGAAAAATAAAGTTAGAAATAAAGACCACCGCCCTAAAATTTTTGACTGCTAATCTATTTCCATTTTCATCTTGGAATATTGTCAGCTGTAAGCAGATAGACAAAAACACTGAGAAAAAAAGGCAGCTTGTATGCATTATGAATAAAAACATGTTGAAGGGAAACATGGGAAAAGAGACCTGTATTTATAATGGGTAAAGCAAAGCCTGTTTGTAACTACTTGCTTGGATAAATTGTTCGGGAACACTTCAGCTGGGTGGAAAAGAATACAACTTGTATAATGCCATGCTTTAAAGAGATAATCTGTGTAAGTTTTAGTTATTTAAGTTTAAGTTGCCTAAGGTTAAACTGAGATTGCCAAGATACTGTTTTGTCAAAAACAAAGAATAAGAGACTATTTTTAACTATTATTTCACCATTTTGAATCTTCAAGCTTATCTGAAATGCATTTGCCT